CTGTTAGCCAATGTATAAACAGATTCCAACCTCTTTCTTCTCCACTTATTCTCTTCATTGTCGTATATGACCGGATGGTTAAAATCAATCAAACATTTATCACCTATAGCATAGTGTTCAGCTAATAATGAATTTAAACTTGTAGGATTTTGACCTTCATTCACTTTATCAATATTGTCTCTATGTTCTTGTTGTCTTCTCTCATAATCATTGGATTCACCCACATATATCTCTCTGCATTCACATTTTAATCCATAAATGCAATTAATAGGGCTTGGTCCAACGGTTTTCAGCTTACTTTCATTTCTAGCAATAAACTTTGATTTATTCAGAATACTACCAAAGTTCCGTTGATGTTGTACGTATAATTTCACATTATATTTATTCAAAGTATATTTGAGTTTTTCAGTCATATTGTTCAGATAAGGTACTACAACCACCGCCCGGGGTTTGTCAACTTTCTGCAGGTCTGATGTTGCATTACCACTATTATGTTGCTGTAATCGTACCCGTTTCATTATTTTATTTTTTGTAATATAAGCAATTATTGAAATCTATAAACCAAATCATAATCCGTACGCAGCATGAATTCTACTAATGATAAGTATAATAATAATAAACTTTTGCAATGTCTATACATGGATCGATGGCTCGAGCTAAATCCGAATATGTGATTTTAAAGGTTTCAAATCAAATTTTTAGAGTCCAAAATTTGAAAAAGACCAAACTTTTTATAATCTGAAAAACAGCTGATCTGTTAAAAAATGAGCGTAAATGTCTTATGCACTATTTTTTGTAATTTTGAACCAGTTTTATTCTTATTCCACGTAACAAACTGTATCTACAAAATATGATTTTGATATCACTCAAATATCAAATGACCCTGAAAATTGTTGCTCTTTCACAGTACCATAATATGACTTTCATAGCTTCATAGTCTCACCATATCGCATTATCACTTTCATAGTTTCACACTTTCACCGCATCAAAGTATGGCTACCATAGTTTCACCATCTCATACTGTGACTTTCAAAGTTTCACCGTAACATACTGAGACTTTCATAGTTTCACAGGCTCACAGTAGGTTTGCTTTTCGATGTCAATCCCCATTCCAATTCTCCAACAACTGGATATTTTAGTAGATTTTCCTCATCACTTGATTGTTTATCGTGTGCCTATGTTTATCAAACTGGCAAAAAACCGCCAATTAACCTCGATTAACCGTCCGGTTGAGTGTGCACTTTACCTTCCGGTTAACCGCAATTAACCGCGAATCGGCACAAAATGTTCGCTTAACCGTGGTTAATTGACGGCTTTTTTGCTGAGAAAGCGATATAAGTACAAATCCTCTCCTGAACATTTTTTGATCATGGTTCAAAAATTCTGAAGTTTTTCGATAAATCATGTTATCCTTGTATACATATAGCGACCACAAAACAAAACGGTGGTTGAAAAAGAAACGGTTAACCGCCAGTTCTCCGAAATAACGCGGTCAATTGCGAAATGACATTTTGAAGCATATATCGTAAAGTTTTTTCAGCTTATGGGGATTTTCTGCATGGGAAAAAAATCAATTACTTGAAAAATGTTGTCAAACTTCCGAAAGTGCGAGAAGATAATTCTCTATGTTTTGAGAGGCATACTATCTCAGAAGTTTTTGCTAAATGTACGTTCAAGCAAAGAACAATGAAAAACGATACACAGGTAAGATATGACTTTGTTATCTCGATAACAACTGACTGAGTGTTTATCAGCATTTTAAGATTAAACACATGAATAATTCTGGGTTCAAGTGTTACCAAAAGGATAAAAGCACAAAAGATCCCGGAAAATTATTTACTTATTTTAATGACACAATAGGTCTCCGGTTCTTCCGTATTGGACTTGAAAGACGGCGATCACAAGAAAACTCACGCATTCGTCATTTCTCACCTTACTACGTATCAGAGTTGCAACTGTCAGATCCGGACATATTATTGGACCCACAAGTTCGGAGTGACATCCTTCACCTAAGAAAACAAAACGCCATATAATGGGGACAACTCATGTCGATTTTTCGAGAGGCATATGCGAAAAATTGCAGAAAGTTACGTCCGTTCATCTGCAAAAATCTGTATATCGTACAGTATGCTCTTTCTAGCACGAAAGTCTGATGGATGACTGAGCAGAATGTTTCGATTATCGAGTTCGGTCATCAATAGACCTCTAGAATCCATCCACCATAGATTTTAGACGTACCGCCAAGGATTACCTTTACTAAGGATTTCGTTGATTTTTTGCAGCGTTTTTATTTCTGACCTTGAATATATTGCAAAAGAATAGCAGTCAATAATTATCTATTCTCATGACGTGCAAACCGGAAGAAAACCGCCGGTTAACCACGGTTATTTCAGCTGAAACCGTAGAAACACAGCATTAAAAGCGACGATTAACCGATGGAAAACGAAAATTGTAGTTAAAAGATGACGTTTGTCGGTTTTATTTCTGACTATGAGCTTAAGTATGACATCAGTTTTGACTTTTTACGGCGTTTTCTTGATCTCCTCATCAGAATCCTAGCAGAGAAACAACGGCACCAGCACAAACGATTATTGTTTGTGTAACTGTCAACAGAACCAGTATGATAAAAGCAGTCTGAAACACTAATTAGGAACACATCACAATGTGATCAATCCAATGGTGTAGTTTTCTGAATTTCTTTTTCTGAACTTCGCGTTTCTTTTAATGCACTACTCTAGGATATAGTGCCACCTTTTCTTTCCGTTTCGTTGTTCTGTTCTATTCTGCTCAGTGAATAAAAAATAACAGAAATCAAAAAAAGAAAAAGCCACATTATTTTAATTTCACTCACTCCATCCATGACTCATGTCAATTTTATTTTATTTTTGTGTCAACAAAAGAAAAATATAAGAAAACGAAAGCACAGCATTTCTTCACATCATATTGTTTTGAAAAAAGAGTAAATGAGAGTATAGCATGGCAGCAGAATACGTCTCACCTAACGATGACACCAGTAATACTCACCAGGAACTAGAACGTATCAACGACCTTCAAAATGTCAATAAAACACAGCAACGATTTCCGTTTGCAGTTCAGGAGAGAGAACCCGTCCTTACGACAAATAACATTGTCACTCAACCACAACAGCAAGCGATGCTGCCTTCTAATAAGAAAGACGGTGATTCCTTTTCTGATACCAAGTTCGATGGCATTACCATGAATGAAAACAAACCAAGTGAAAAAGTGTTGAAATTATTACGAAAGAACAAAAATATGAAAGAATGGCGTATGCATCGTCAAGAGTTAACTGACGAAGATGTGAAATTCATTGCAGAAGAATTGAAAACAAATAAAACCTGTGAATCTATCAATTTGTCTACTAATAACATTACCCCAGAGGGTGCAGCACATTTAGCTGGAATGTTAAAAGTTAATAAAACATTAAAATACCTTTGGCTTGCTTCTAATCAAATTGGTGATAGAGGAACAGAAATATTGTGTACTGCACTGGAATACGACGATAACAATACTTCTTATTCAGTAGACTTATCTTCTAATCAAATAACAGATCAAAGTGTTGATAGAATATTGAAGCTGTTTGGAATGCAGAACACAAGAGTGAAGTTATTTTTTATCGATGGCAATCAAATATCAAAAGAAAATAAAGAAAGATTACGTGAAATGGCTAAAGAAAGAAATATCAGTTTGGGTGACTTGTTTTAACTTATTTTAATTTATCTAGAACCTCTGTTACTACTATGACCTACGAGACTTTATTGACATCGGCAAGAAGAAAGAAATAGCACTGGTTGTTTATTTTGTTGTATGGCTTCTTATTGGAACTGTGACAACTTCTCCTTTACATATACATTCGATTATAATGGAAGTTTAAGCAAACGGATCACTGTAATTTCGATTTTCACCTAGTAAAGTAAACGATTGACTTCTTACATTCTACATAGAAAGTGAAGTTTAAGGCTAACAAAGTGTAAAATAAGTAGTGTTTAATCAATTCTCCTAAACGACCTGTTTATGGTTTGAAGCATGTGGTTGACGCATATAGTATGCGTCTGTTATGAAATATTCAGAAATCATTCTGAAATTACTCTAGCATAAAGTACTAAAAAATGGCCTAAAAATGGGCCGTAGATGACCTGTGCCGTTATGGGGCAGATGAGGGTACAATCATCAGCAAAGCGGATAGTATCAGCCGGTAGGTCTACAACGGTAGGAAGGGCATTAAGGAATATTAGGAATAGCATAGCACCAAGGATGGAGCACTGTACTACTCCTGATATTATGGCAGTTGCCATAGACAGCTTAGAGCCAACTCTTATTTTCTAGAAACGGTTGAAAAGGTAGTTCGTAAACAACTGTAGGGCTGTTTGAGATAGGTCTAACGCTGACAAACGAGAGTTGATTATTTGATAGGGAACTTTGTCAAAGGCTTTCTCCATATCAAATGTGACTAGGACCAGTGGTTGTTTATTAAGATTATTTGTCAGATTATGTAACAAATATAATAGAGCATCAACTGTAGATGTTTTTGGTAAAAAGCTGAACTGATTATTGGAAAAGAATTTCAAATGGGTAAAACAATTGGTCGTAAATAAATCTTTCCAATAATTTACTCACTATTGACAAGAGAGAAATTGGTTTATAATTAGACACAACAGATTTTGAGCTTTTTTTGTGAGTGGGGTTAACGAAAGCTAACTTTACTTTGATAGGAAATCTCCAGTTTCAACTGATAACTTGAAAATATAATGCAATTGACGTGTAAAAATTGCAACGTTCTTTTCTAGCACAGCCACCAGAATGTTGCCTGGGCCATAAGCGATGTTATTACGCGGTTGTTAATAGCTAAAATTATTGCCTCCTTAGAGGGACATGTGAAATGGAGAGTAGTTGTGGGGTGAAAGTTGGATTGGGGCATGGAACCTGCTGTTGCTACCTGCGTTGCTACTGTGCAACGCAGTTGGAAAAATACTGACTAAAGAGGTCCGCTCTTTCCTGATCAGTTGAGGCAGACGTAGTCCCATTAGTAATTGTTGCGGATAGACTAGTGTTATCTTGTCTTATCTGATTAATGGCGGCCCTAAAGGTTGCAGGTGAGGTAAAGGAGGTATAAATTTGGTTAAAATGGGCATTTTCGTCTTTATTTAAGGCCTGCTTAGCTTTCTTACGCCACCTCTTCTAACTTTTAACTGATTCAACTTTACCGTCTGCATTTTTTAACTGTAAGTTTCAACTGATAAATTAAAAGTATGATGCAATCGATGTGCAAAAACTGCAATTCTTTCATCCTATCCGACACCTTGCGTTTTCTTGAAATTTTCACGCGGAAAAATTACTGAGATTTTCGCGAAAAAATGAAAACCAATAAAAAGTTTTGAAATATTATTCGACTCAGTTTTGGATGGCGATTCTGAATATGGCTCTGGCTATTGATAGTATTTGACCTCGACTACTTATGTTTCAAGTATGAACGCTAGATCGAGATCTAAACATCAAAAATTTTACTTTTTGCTGTTGATAGGGCTTTTATATACAACATAACTTTGAGTAGGGAGTAAGTTTTGGTTAAATAGTTTTGAGAACCTTCCTAGCCAAATTGCCACTATTTCCTGGAAGGAAAAGATGGAACATCGATTAAGCACGTTATGCGAGAAACGGTTGTCTCAACGGTACGATTGTTCGTAAAGAGAGTATGCTTTCTAAATAGACAACCAGATAAACCGACGGAAAGAGTAAAAGCTACAGTGATTTATCTACACATAAACATAACGTAATATCTAATGTATATAAGCTCATACACTACATGTTCTTAAAAAAAGACTCAGAAAAGATTCCCTCTACTAGTTGTGTAGTAAATTTTTTTTCTTAGATGGTTCTAAGGACAGGTTGTATGCTATCAAAAACTTGGAATCTGGCTGGCATTCTTCATTTTATGTTATTTGATTAGAGCCATAAAAGACATATTAGTTTATTTTAGCTGTCTTCGAATGACTTTTTAAAAACAGAAATGCATACTAACAACAATCGTACTGTTTATGGTTCATTAAGTATAAAAATCAGATAACCGAGATCTAAGGTGCATTTATAAATCTACACCTACAGAAGCGCAAATCGCTTTTTATGACTGGTTGAGATAATGAATAGTCAGCCAAAGGTTAGTCATCAACAAACAAGAGATGCAAAACGCTATCAACATATTATTATTCAATCATAAAAATATAAAAAAATATGAAAACGGTAATAAAACGTGATACTAAAATGATATGATTACAAATATGGACAATTAAAGGTTGTTATATCGGTCATATATACAAGCGAGTAGACTAAAAGTAATGATATACGATGGGTAGTCGTATGAGCCTTTGTTTGACACTGTACATTCTCGTCCACAACACGCAATCATTCTACCCGTTGGACAGTAATTAATACAAAGACCTTCACACGATACACCATCTGTACAAGCACCAATTCCTTGTGGATAATATTTTTTTGAGTCTTGACATTGACACATACACGTCGGTGTATTATAAGTGGCACAGTTATTCGATCCACAACAGGCATGAATCGAATTTGTTGTACATTGTTGACTATCGCCGAGTGTTTGTAGACACGACTGAATACACGTTTGACCATTAAAACATTGTTGATTATTTGACATTGATATGGAACCACAGTTACATGTACACATCGGGGCTTGTGGAAGAATGATGTCACCAGCACACGAGGCAACGATATTCTCGCGGTTACAAGCGCCGTAGTTGTTAATACATGTCTCGACACATGATTGACCCGATGTACAAGGGATCGATGTTAATTGATCGAAACCATTTCCACAGTCACATCGACACGTAGGTATGTAGTTAGCACAATCTCCACCACAACAGGCTTGCGTTGTTCGAGGAGCACATTCTGAATAGGTGGTGAGACAAGTGCTCATACACGATTGACCATTTGTACATGATGGTGCAGGATTAAATGTACCTCGTTGACAGTAGCACGTACATATAGATGCTGTTTGAGAATACATAGCACAATTCATTCCACAACATCCCTGCGTATTAGACGTGTAACATAAAGTAGGATAAGCTTGCATACATGTTTGTGCACAAGAAAGTGGACTTGAACATGACGACGATGTAGTTGTTGGTGGATAGTATGTACCACCACCACAATTACACCGACATTGATCCGTATTTGTGGCGGCGAGAGCTGTATTACCGTAATTAATACAGTCTGAACCACAGCATACCGCCTGAATTGCGTTACTGACACAGTTCGAATAAGTCGTTGAACAGGATAAAAGACATGCTTGTGAATTTGAACATGTCTGGAGTGGATTATAGGTAATAGATGAACACGAACAGACGCAAGTATTGGGCGGGACGAAACCGAAGAGAACTTGTGGGTTTATATTGCCAAGATAATACGGTTGTTGCTGATTTATACCAGTATTGGTGCCGTAAGCATTTCCATATGGGACAATCTGACGAATACGACGCTTTTGTTGATTACTTGTTATTCCTACATATGAAACGAGCATATATAAAGAATATCTGTGAATTCCATATAAAAATATTGATTTTGTTTCACTGGGTCCTGTCTGCTTCTCAGCGATGTGTGTCTAGGGCATCCACTTAAAATGATCAGATCAAGTTTGCATACTGAATGCTGCCTTGTCAATTAGTAATCGTTTGTGACAATGTCAGGCTTAAAACTAGCTATCTGTTAGTTAATAAAGTCTTTGAATTCGTTTGACTCGTACACCTTTTATTCTATAAATGAGTGTTGTCGGTCAATATCTATCTATTTAAGATGAAAGGAGCCGTTTCCGCTCTTGAAGTTACATACTAGCTGTTTTCAAAACTTAGACTTGGCACTCATAGGGCTTGTTTATCTGATAAAATACCTTGTGCTCTTAAAGTTACTTGACAATTGCGAGAAAACTTGAGTTTAACTCTTTCATATGATAAAACCATGTGACATGAGAAGGTAAAAGTCAACATCTCATTTTGATAACATACCTTCAGATAGTAGAAACAGAGTTAAAAATCCAATTGTATCGTGCCACCACTTCATTCTTCTTTAGATCATAAAAGTTTCAATTTTACTCTTTTCATTGCATTGTCTGTCTGTCCACATTGTTCAAAAATGTGATCTGTATACGTTTAATCTATTCTTATTACTACTACGTAAAGTTTATGCAACAGGCATACAGACATCACATTAAATCATATACATTTTTCTTTCACTTCTATAGTCAAATAAAATTTCTTTTTTTTTCTTTTATTTCTTCAAAATAATTAACCGTTGCGTTTCCTCCATCATTTCATGTTGTCTCTTTCTCTCTCTCTCTCTGTATTCTATTTTTTTACTTTTCTTTCTCTCTAAACGATGCACATAGTCTAACAACGAAATGATTTCATCTCTACTATTATACTCTGTCACTGACAATGTATATACACGTTAGAAGATTCTCTTATGTTACACTTTTTTTTTTGCATGTGAGACATGTCATT